CCCGGCGAGACGGGATGGGGGCGGGGCCTGCGTGCGTGTGACGTGGCGCGCCTCCCGCGCACGACGACCAGCACGCGGTCGGCACAACACAGGAGGCCACGCCCACACGTCTACATTGGGCAGGACCTTGCCGGGCCGCTAGGGTAACCGAGACGCGGCCCAGCCTGGAAGGCCTTTGAGGCCTGAGTTGGGCGGAGCATGAGGCCCGGTACAGCGCCCTCGTGCTTCTCTTCCCTGCTCTTCCCCGTCTGCCCCCAGGTGTACGAGTGGGAATGAAGGTGCGCCGGCCGGACTTCTCTTCCTTGCTCTTCCCCGCCTGCCACTAGGTGTACACGTGGGAATGCAGAGGTCCAGGGCAGAAGGTGGGAGTCTATAAAACAGCATCCTGGGTTTCGTGGAACCTGCATCCTGGTGACAGACAGATATCACATAAACCAGGGAATGGGGGGAGAGTTTCAGAGCGTTGTCAGAGCTGTGGACACGAGTCTGGAGCGGTGACCAGAGGTAGAAGTATGATGGTTATGTTATACATACGGTTCATTGAATATTTGGACTGTATGCATAACACAACACTGAATGTGAATGGATCCAAAATACACATTAAATAATTCAACACATACTCGGCACCTACTGTGTGCACAGGATTCCGCTCATTTGGCCCCAGTGACAAGCCTACAACATAGTCGCAAGTATCTCCATCTTAGCTGAGGAAACTAAGGCTTAGAGAGGTTAAGTAACTTGTCTAGGATGGTCTGTCCTAATAAGGCGTCCACATTACTCCAAAGCCTCAGTGTTTTATTGTCTCCAGATTAAATATTGGGTATAATTATAATCTCTGCCTTCCTTCCTTTCCAGTTGGTTTTAGCCCAGCCCAATAAAGAGAAAAGCTTTCAGCACCACAAGGAGATAATAATAGCAATGGTGTCTAACATTTACTGAGCTCTTACTGAGTGCAGAATATTGTGCCAAGCATTGCAAGTGCTTCACCTTATCTAATTCTCACAACAAGCACAAGGAAGGTACTGTTACTTGGTGGGTGTGGTATTGTTGGCTTTTCCAAGTGGAGATTGTGCATCACCATCTATTGCCGTGTGATGCAGTACATCTTTCAGAGGAGTATTTGCACTGATGTCAGGCTCACTTCCACCATCTTCTTTTGGTAAGTGGAATAAGAGCTTGCCATTGGGGGCAAATGAGCTGAATTCTGTGCATACAGCAGGTGCTGAGTATTTGTTGAATTATTGAGTGTGGACTTTAGACTAATCCACATTCAATGTTATGTTATACATACAGTTCAAATATGCAACCAACCATATTCATGACATCACAATACTTTTGTCTGAAAGTCGCTTTACTGGCCTTTTCAGCACATTGGAGCAGAAGCCCTAATGCATTGCATATTTCCACCAGTTCTCTTGGTCTTTTTCCTCCCTTGTGAGAATGGTCTGTCCCGGGCAGGACTGTTTCCTCGTCCTGGGTCCTGGAAGGGAAAAGAGATGTGAAGCAGAACCACATCTAACATGTCACATAAGTGAAAAGTAAACCTTTACTGTTAGAAACCACTGAGATTTAGGATTATTTCTTACATAGCCTTACCTAATGAAACTTGAGTAATACATTCCCCCACTTTACAGATGAAGACATTGAGACCTAGTGAGGTTTACTTAGGCGGTCTGACAATTAAATTCATGAACTCAGCCTAGAAAAAGTGCTACATACCTCATTGCTGAATATCACTATGGTCACCTTTTTTCTTTTTTTTTTGCATTGGAGTCTCACTCTGTCGCGCAGACTGGAGTGCAGTGGCCGCTCCCAGCCACCGCAGCTTTGACTTGCTGGGCTCCGGCGATCCTTCCGCCTCAGCCTTCCAAGTAGCTGGAACTACAGGCACGTGCTACTACTCCCGACTAATTTTTGATTTATTGTAGAGATGAGGTCTCGCCAAGTTGCCCAGGCGGGTCTTGAACCCACGGGCTCAGGCAATCCACTCACCTCGGCATCTCAAAGCATGGGACTACAGGCTGACCCACCAAGTCTGGCAATGGTCACCTTTGAAGTACTCCACTTGAGAAGCTATGCACTGATGCCAGTGCCTAATCCACCCATCAAAGCAATTTTGGAACTCTCTGGAATGGCCATCAGTGCTGTCGTTGTATTACCCTTGAAGTCCTGAATGTCATTGTAATATCTTCCTTTCAATATTTCCTTTATCTTTGGGTAACGAAAAAAGTCATTGGACGCCAGATCAACTGAGTAGTGAGGTGTTCCAATACAAGTATTTGTTTACTGGCTAAAAACTCCCTCACAGACAGTGCTGTGTGAGCTGGTACATTGTCATGATGCAAGAGCTCCTTCAGGACCATTTTTGCATACATCCTTTACATGCCAAGATTTTCCTGTTTCTCTGTTGATGTTTATTTGGTCTGCTAT